CAGAAGAGGTAGTTTACTTTGAGTGGAAGAATAGTTTCTGAAGAGAACTGTCCTTGGTACAGGAAGTGTAGAAAAATGTCCTCTTGGGGCGACCCTATAGCTGCCCTAGTTGAGCAGGTGACCCATAAACAGGGGTTATAGTCCCCACCACAGCGGTCGTGAGGTCTCTCCCCTTTCTTCTTTCCTGTCTCTCTACTGCTATAAATGAAGGCAAAAGCCCCAAAAATATATATTAAAAAAATGTCCTCTTAACAACCTCCAAATTTGCATTCTCACTGTGGTGGATTTTTACCTATTTCCTCTTACTGATGGTCTGATCTTTGCAGACTGGACAAATACAGACCAAAGAACGGAACAGAGGTCAAAGATTTCACCTTTGAAGCCCATATCTACTTTGATGATGCCTTCCAACATGTTGAGGGGAGTCGAGAGCGCCACCTCAATGAATATGGAGAGAACCTTGTGGAGATCATCGCAGAGGTTTATGGGTAAGAACCATGTTTACAGAGAGTCTAAGGCTTACGAGCATTTTAGATCATTTAAATCCAGTTCTGACCAGACAGTGTTCTCCTATTCTCTATCATCAGCATCTTCATGAGCATTGATGACAAGTTCTTCAAGAAGCGGCAGCAAATCCCTGATCAGACCATCGTAAGAACACCGTATGGAGGTCGGCTGGTTGTCACCATGCCTCACGGGAACAACATTGTGGTTCACTTCAAGGATAAAGAACTCATCCGCCACAAGAAGAGATGGTCTCAGGTAGCAAAAAACGTGCAAAAAAATACATTCCATGTTTAGGTAACAGTGGAACATTTCAACACTGTAACTGTGAAAAATATCTTCCTGTTCGTTATTTCATATGCAGATCATGTACCTTTACTATCTTCTGGGCTATAAACTCATGACCAAATATTACTCAAGCTGGACGAGAGGAGATGATGAGAAGGAGTTGAAAGAAATGGTCCAGGTGAGATAAGAGACATTTTCTGAGCTTGAATGCTCATCTACTGCTACAAACCTCTCGCAGCATAAATGAAAAGCAAAGCTAATTGTGCCTGTTTCTCCAGAGAGAGAAGCACAACACCTACCTTCTGGCTTTAGATGGGGATACAGACTTCCAGCCCGGGGCTGTGATGCTGCTCATCGACCGTATGAAGATGTACCCTCGAGTCGGGGCAGTGTGCGGCAGGATTCACCCCACCGGATCAGGTTTGTACGAACAAAAGAGCTGTTGAGAAACTAACACAGCGATAATGTGGAGCACAGGTGTCAAACTCAGGCCAGTGGGTCAAATCTGGCCCACAGTGTAATTATATTTGGTCCGCGAGATAATATCAAATGTCTATTAGAGCTTGCTCACTGGTGTATAGCGCATGCACTGCTAATACTACACAGAATGCTCTGGTAGTTTGTTGGCATGTCAGTGAAGACCCGCGAGCGCCGCCTCCCCTTCTCTTGACATTGATTAGCAAGTCTCGATATTCAGGAGCAATCTCCTGTTGCCAGTCACCTCTGGAAAATTTAAGCCACCCCTCACAAAAAAAAGGCCAAACGAAAGATGGAAAACAGGAGCTTATTCATTTGAATAAAAATACAAAACAAGTGCCACTGATGTATCTTTCATTTGATTTCTAATGTGATCATAATATTAAGCTTGCTTGTTCCAGATTCAAAGTGTAAGCAAAACTCAAGTTTGTTTCCACACAAAAATATTTATCATTATATATCAGGACAGAAAGGAAAACATGCAAAATTGTAAAACATTTAATAAATGTCTGTTATAGGCAGGACGGAGACTCAAAGACACAACAACAAAGACACAGTAGACTGAATCAGTTTATTTTACAAAAATGAGAATCCAAACAACACAATATCAAAAAGGCTCAACCAGGACCAGGTATTATCTGGCAAGGAAGAAAACTCATAGAAGAATCGAACTAACTCAAAGAGCTCAACTCAGTGCTGAGAAACTGGCAGACTGACAAACCAAATGTTAACTAAAGGTGCTCAGACTACAGTGCTGAGAGAAATGACTGGTAACACAAGATGCTCAGACTGAAATGCTGAGAAAACAGAGTGGCGAACAGGAACTCACTGACAGGCTAGAACAGGGGTCGGCAACCTTAAACACTCAAGAGCCATTTGGACCAGTTTCCCGTGGAAAAGAAAACACCGGGAGCCGCAAAACCCTTTTGACATCTAAAATGAAGATAACACTGCATATATCGTTTTTACCGTTATGCTATGTATTTATTTTTTAAAAATCTAAAAAAAAAATAGTGTGTTGCATTTATGAAATCAATGACCTGCTACAGAGGGAAAAAAAAAACATTTCTGCAACAAAAACATTTTGAACTAAAAAAAAAAAACTAAATATCTATTTGAATCCTCCTTGAAATCATGAAATAAAAAAACAATCTTAAATTATCCACTTGCAGCAAAGTCAAAATAGGTTCTGGTTGTCCTGCTGACTGCAGCTGGGACTGCTGCTCCACCCTGCTGACCGCCTGTGAGCGCTTTGGGACGGGAGGAGCTCACTGCAGCACCGCAGTAACAGTAACTGCACAACTATACCTGTTTTCATGTCAGAGTCTTCAAAACACCAGAAAAGTCTCCAGTAACAACAGAAAGAGTCGCTAGATTTATCGCTAGTCATTTTTGACAAAAAAAAAAAAAAAGAAAAAAATCACCGAGGATTTGGAAAGTTACCAGATTTAGCGAGATCATCATCAAGGTGGCACCACTGCGCGTGCTGGCAGGTGTCACACATCCGACGGTTATGACACATATTTTGAGAAACAAAAATGTAAACGCATTTTATTTTAATGTTGCAAGTTCACAAAAATCTTCAAATTTAGAATTACATTTTAAAAACTAACGCTAATACATTTAAATTAAAATACTCATTTTTTCCCAAAGCCACATGAGCCGCAGCAGAGGAATGAAAGAGCCGCGGGTTGCCGACCCCTGGGCTACAACAACGGAACTAAACAGAGCACACTAACGAGACACAGAAACCACAACACATCTATGACGAGCTACAAAACACACTAGATAACGGCAAATGCAAAAAAAAAAAACTACTGACAGAGAGCTAACAGGTTTGACTGGCTCAATACGGGGAAGAGTGCGGAGAAGCAACAGAGAGAACCGGAGGACGGCTGAACCATGAGCGAGGGCAGACAGGTGCGGTGCGGAGTCCGGTTGCAGATCGGCGGCGGCGCGGTGGGAGATGGTCGGTGAGAGGTGAAGTGTTGGAGGTGGTAGCGGTCGGCGGCAGAAAAGCGGAAAAAACAGTAGTACCAGTAGAGCAAAAAACGGCGAGACGAGTGCAAAACTATGACTGACTGCGTGGTTGGACGGTCTGGAGTCTATGGTCCGACCGCTGCTGAAATCCTGGTTGACTGAAAGGTTGCAGCAGGAACGGACCAATCCCGCAGCGCCGATCTGCTGATTAGTGATCTGGTGCACCTGTCCGCGTGCTCCACCGTGCTGAGGCCCGCCTGAGAGAGAGAGAGAGAGAGAGAGAGAGAGAGAGAGAGAGAGAGAGGAAAAAAGGATCCAGCTGACACCAGAAGTCGAGGGCATGACAATAACAAGTCTGGCGCGCGACTTAGTGCCAGCTGTTTTTTTTGTTTTGTCTCACTGTGTATTTGAGCTTGACACCCATGAGAATGCCACTAAAGTTTACCATTCGTCTGTGTTTAACATGCAGGTCCAGCAGTTTGGTTCCAGAAGTTCGAGTACGCCGTCAGTCACTGGCTGCAGAAGACAGCAGAGCATGTGTTCGGATGTGTGCTGTGCAGCCCCGGATGCTTCAGTCTGTTCAGAGCAGCGGCGCTGATGGACGACAACGTGATGAAGAGATATTCAACCAAGTCCATGGAGGCGAGCCACTACATCCAGTACGACCAAGGTGACGTTTGATATCAAGACTTCAAACTTATCTGTTTGCACAGCTGAGTAATTAAACCATGATTGTTAAAAATCTGCAAAGAGTATAAACCCTGTTCTACTGTTAGGAATGGTTTGTTTTGTGCTTTTAAAAATAATTTATTGCAATATTATTATTGTATCTTCTTTCAAATTGTGAAAGGAAAATGGTAGATGGTGGTTTTCTACCTTAGCAGTACCTAAAGTTGTTTCGAGTGTTTCTCATTGTTCCACTCACACACAGATCTGCTATACAAGGTGTTTGTAGCACATCATCTGTCTGTGATAACTTTTACTGTTTCTCTCTTTCTTCTTGGTCTTGTCACGTATAATTAAATGTTTTGTTCCCTGCAGGTGAGGACCGCTGGCTTTGCACTCTGCTGTTGAAGCAGGGCTGGAGGGTGGAGTACAATGCAGCCTCTGATGCCTACACCAACGCACCAGAGAGCTTCAAAGAACTCTACAACCAGGTGAGTGCTGGACCTAATCAGAACCGTCCAGTAGTATTACAATGGTCATAAAATTACTAAAAAGACTTGATAAATCAATTGATTCCAACAGTTGGAATGGATTGGTTTCATGTCATCATACTGATGTATATTTGCCACCTTCAGCGCCGGCGATGGGGACCATCTACAATGGCCAACATTGTGGATCTGCTGGGTGCAACCAACCTGATCTCCAAGAGGAACCCGTCCATGTCCAGAGCTTTCATGCTTTACCAGCTGTTTGGTATCATGTCAGGCACTCTGGCTCCTGCCACCATCTGCCTGTTGCTCGCAGGTTTATGTTATATTTGTGCTTCCAAAACATCATCTGCACACATTTGAACTTTGTACAATTTCTGTGTCCAAGAACAACATGTAAAATATCTTGTCTGATGTGTCTTTCAGGTGGATTCTCCCTCATCTTCGGGATTGATTCTGCTAGTGCTCTGATCATTGCTGTGATTCCTCCTGCCATCTATCTGGGTCTTTGCTTCCATCTCAAGTCAGACACTCAGATCGCTATAGCAGCAATCATGAGTATCATTTACGCATTCCTTATGTTGGTGGTGACGATGACTATTGTTGGTGAGTTATGTTCAAACTGGTTTAACTTCATGCAGACACGTGTCAAACGTCTCTGCATGGCTTTTGTAACATCAAACAAGACATGCTTAAAACTGCTTTAATTCTAAAACTTGTTCATCTCTTTATCTTCCATTAGCATCAATGGTGGACAACTTGGTGTCGCCCAGCAACATTTTTGTTATCTGCATGGCCATCATTTACATAGTCACCGCAATAATGCATCCTCAGGAATTTAACCTGATCTTCTATGGCTTGCTCTACATCATCTGCGTCCCCAGCGCCTACCTGCTGCTCACCATCTACTCCATGGTCAACATGAACAATGTCTCTTGGGGGACAAGGGAGACGAAGCCTGTCGGTGGCACTGCCCCACCTGCAGCAAACGTCCCGCAAACAAAAGCACAGAAAGGTAGATAGCAGTACTTATTGGGAGAACACTCACGGTGTAACAGAAAAGACCGAATTGGCAGCTGTGGCTCAGGTGGTAGAGTGAGTTGCCCACTAATCGCAAGGTTGCCTGCCTTTGGCATTAAAGCACCTTGCATGGCAGCTCTACCGCTATTGTGTGTATATATGTGTGTGTGAGTGAGAAACACATTGTACAGCGCGTTGAGTGCCACTAAGATCATTTAAACTGATGGTGAGTTTTCTCCCTGCAGCCAAAAGTACCTTCCACCGGCTCTTCTCATGGGCCAGATGCTGCTGCAAGAAGTCCAGCGAGAGATCTCATGATGAACGAGTCATGAGGAGCCAGGAGACCATGATCCCGTCACAGCCTGAGCCTCTACCCCAAAACACGATTGTGGAGGACATAAGTATCTCAGAAGCAGAACAGAGGTGAGTTCTGAAGATGGAAAATGAACTGAGATGCAATATTTCAGTCATAAAATGCCAAAGATGATACTAATAAATTTTCTGTTTGTCTCGCAGACAAGTGGCAACTGTTTTTGACAATCCTGTTCAAAGTAAGTCCACATTATTTTATAAGAATCAACATGTTTTTGTTCTAGAAATGCCCAACACACATGTGAATGTGATGCGAGCTAATAGTTCTCTGTCTTTGTCTTTGCACCAGGTTGGGTCACACAACTACAGAATGTGTCTGACGATATGCGACTGCAGGAGAACTCACTCGACCAGGTGAGTGTGTCTTACTTTTAAATCACTTCTGTCGAGGGTTTATTAGTGTTTCAATCCACAAAAATGATGATCACTGTAAAGTATTACATTCATGCATTTGCAGTGGAAGTAGTTTATTGGCACTCACTTGATCTTGACACGCACAAACACGAATGGGTTTTTAAAAAAAAAAAACCCTTAGTATTTTATTTTGCTGACACTAATCGTCTGGGTGAATTTAAAAGTGTATGTGTGACTTTTAAGTAGCTTTAAGCACTGAAAAGATTTGTGCTTCCCTGCAGGAGGAGGTGGAATTCTGGAAAGAACTGCAGGAGAAATACCTGAAACCTCTGGCTGATGACAAAGAGAAACAGAAGAAGATTGCCAATGACCTGCGAGAGTTGAGAAACAAGGTAAGTTCGGGGAACCGGACTGTGATGTATATCTAAAAGTAGACGTGCATTTAATCTTGAAATAATCCCATCTTTCTCCCAACACACAGATCAGCTTTGCCTTCTTCATCGTGAATGCTTTCTGGCTGGTGGCAACTTTCACCCTCCAGGTCTTCAACGATATCTTCGCCATCAGGATCCCGGAGGTCAACATCAACCTCGAACGCACTGGTGAAACCATCAACATCGATCCGATTGGCCTCATGTTCATTCTGGGATTCGCTCTTTCGGTTTTGCTCCAGTTCTTTGGCATGTTGTACCACAGGTGACCGCTCACATCATATGAGTTCTCCTTTCACAGTTTTTGTTGTTACTGATGTTAAAAAAAATAGTAATAATAAAAAATCTTACATTGTTGTTTTGTGTTCATCCAGGATCTGCACTCTGATTCATTACGTTGCCTTTACTGACACTGAGCCCAGAGAGAAGAAACCTGAAGAAGAGCAGCATCTATATACGCAAGACAAAAAAAAGGTATTTGCTGTACTTACGATTACTGTCCTTACTCATAATATTAACCTTCACCACTGCTTATGCCACTGTTATTTCTTCTGCTGGTCTGCTTCTCTACTGTTGATGCTGCTGCCACTACAACTCATTAGTGCTAGTAATGATACTACTGATACAATCAACACTACTTATAGTACTATATCTGTATGGGATGGACATTATCTTCTGTTTCAAGACTTCAAAAAAAGTTTTGAATGGTTAAAAATTTGTGTTTAAAAGCTGCAAATGAAAAAAAAAATTAACTAAATTTTGGCGGCTTTGGAGGTTGCCATAAGCTGAGAAAATGTTTTAAATCTCTGCAAATATTGTTTTATGTTTTTTACCTTTACCTGTGCTTTTTAGAGGGTTTTTCCAACAATTCTTTTAGAGCTTTAATCTGTTCTCTTGCTGTATGTTTATCAAAGTTGCATAATGTTAATCTGAAAACTGGTGCATGTTGTATATTGGGGGAAAAAGGTTAAGTTCAAGTAAATGTTAAGTTTCAAAAGGGTGAATCGTGTCATTTCTGGCAGCTCTGGTTTGAAAATCTGTAGTCTGACTCACCAGATGTAGGATGCAGGTGTAAGTCTACCATTGGCTGCTCATTTTAGGCGACTTTGTCCTTTTCTTCTGCTGTCTGCACGTTAACGCTTTCTTCACTCTGGGAAACAGCAACAACCACCTCAGAGCAGCAACCCACCACACTAAAAAGGGGTTTTGATAATGTACTAAGACAGCCCTGAACGTTTTCTTAGAGGATTATCCCTTTTAGTTATAGCTCTCTCCTCCCTGCGTGTAAATGTTCCACCAAAAAGTTCCACTATTTTGAGCACTGAAGCTGCACTGTTTGCTTTGCTCCACCCAAGATTACTGTGATTGATTTAAAGAAATACACACAAGCTGCAGTGTTTCTCCCCTTTCGCAGAACGATAATGAAGTGCAGCAGACCATTCTGTAATGCAGCATGGGCTGGCTAAGCCTAACTTCCCTAAATGTTAGCTGTGCAGTAAAGTAAATAATAACCTATCATTCCAAATTGTTACCACCTGATCTCACTGAGAAATTTTCATTTCAACATCAACTGAAAAGTAGTGAACTTGCGTAAGGTTCTGTGTGTTGACATCATCATCTATAATAATCCACAGGACAGCATCTAGTTGTCCAGCCTTGTGTTTTATAAACTGTTAATACCAGAAATGATAATTCAGCTGCTCTGCACAGCCTTTCCTTTACTAACTGTATCCACCTGATTCCAGCTGCTGTTCAGTCACCTGCCTGTACTGTTCCAGCTGTGTGGCTTTAATACGTACTAACATTAGTTCGATCTCCTCCCAGGACATCCAGACTTCCAGCGCAGACTCAACGTACGGCTCCCAGCAGGACTCTGACACTGATGAAAGCGATGATGATGACGTGTTGTACATGAGGCAAAGTACTGAGACTTTGGTGTAAACGCTATTTTGCACAAGAAAGCACCTTTGTAGGACTTTGAAGTATCCACTGTGTGTGAGATTTTACCAAAACTGTCCTTATTATCACATGTATTATTTTGTTTACATTTGGCCACGTGCAATTTATTTACAAAACGTTTTCATTGAATTAGCAAGTTTGTCACAATGTGTTTCGCAGAAATCTAATGTGCATATTAAGGTTATATATATATATATTTTAATTCTAAGAAAGTGTTTGCAATCAAATGAAGACATTAGGTTTGGTGTTTTTACATGTTATTTATAAAGGATCTGAAGTTTTGTTACACTGTGAAGTCTGCACTTGAACACTGGAAATCAGGGAAGTCTTAGGTCAGGGATTTTGAATGTCATTGTTTTTAAACATGAAGTATTGTATTATATTACCAGGTCAGCACACGCAGTAGGATGTTTTCTGTTGTGGCATCACTTGTCATTGTGTTCAAGTATCTTCATATGCTGTCTGCTTGTTATACATTAAAAAAAAATCTTGGATTCCAAATCTTTGGAGCTATTAACTGCTATAAGTTTATAAGGGGGATGATATGTCTGTGGGTGCAAGGTACTGATAGGTGTGTGTGTGTGTGTGTGTGTGTGTGTGTGTGTGTGTGTGTGTGTGCGCGCATTCCTTCTAGCTGACCTGGCTTAACCTCCCTGAGTTTGGTCTCTCTGGCCTGCTTGTATTCTTCTTTCCCCTTCTTAAGATCAGCACAACTCACACATTAATACACATTAAATGATGCTACTGTCAACTAAAAGCTATCAGTGCTTTCACAAAATTAATTTTTCCAACAGTAGCCATAACTGAAAAGCGTCACACCGTTTCAGGTGGCAGGGACTGACAACGACGATGAGGGGTGCACTTCCTTGTTTACAACCAGCCATGTGGGAAGCACATGTCTGTCAAAATTGGTATGTTATTTGTACAATTGTTTGTGTGTACATTCATTGTTAAATAAGGTTCTGTTATAAAACAAAACCAAAAAAACCCCAAAACAGCTATGTGGGAATTCAATTTGCTTCATGCTAAGTTACCTTTGTAGAGTGAGAGGCCTGAGCCGAGGAGGCGATGTGCCTTCAGAGCTGAGATCGTCAGGACGCGTTGAAGGGAGACAGAGCAAGAGAGGAGACAGTGACGGACTACCGCTGAGCTGCACCCCAGCAATCAGCCCGTATCAGGATTACAGCCACAGGAGCCGGAGAGACAAAGGATTATAAATCTGAACAGGGAAGCAGTGATCCAGGGAGGCTGCCAGACAGACACCCAAACCACAACCGGGAAGTGAATATCTGCTGTCACACACACAGACATACAAAATGTTTTCAAAGTAGCACAGATTGTCACACTGCACCCTGAATGAATGGAGATCAAACTCAAATCAGTGAATTCACGCCAGCACAGGTGTTTTATTAGAAAACCTGTGGGTCGTGTCCAGGCAGGAGTGTTTTAAAGAAGTATCTACATACCCTGAAGAGCAGGAGGGTCATCTTCCCCTACATATAAAATGTATAACTGGGTGTAGAGATACAGAGAAACATCAGTTCATACAAGAAATGCTCAAACACGTACACATTAACATTCTGCATCTGCTTGGTTTTCTCTCTGCAGAGGAACAACTGGAGACATCTGAGACCTCATGTCTTTGTATTAGTGGGTTCTCTTCATCCTGCTGAACTCAGGCCTGTTAGCAGGTGGTGTTGTACCATCTAGTGGCAGCAAAAGCAATCCACACTGATCCAAAAGAAAACAAACGATGACAATCTTCATCAAAGAGTTCTACAGCTGTGATGAAAAAGACAAAGCATGAACCTCATCACATTTGAACCCGATAGACACATAACCTTTTCCTTTCTCGCTGTCTGACATTAAATCAGACTGAACTTTTCCTGTTTTAGGTCAGTTAGGATTACCAAAATTATTTCTACTTGCTAAACGCCAGAATAATGAGAGATAATTTTTTATTACTTTCTTCAGCATCATTGATGTCTTTTTATACAGTGGATGCAAACTTCTGGTTTCAACTGTATCTGACTGAACAATTACATTTCATATCTTATTAAGAAGCTGCCTGTGTGTCTGTATCTACCGAACCGTGATGCTGTTGCTTATATTAAGTCCCTCCCAGCCTGTGTAGAACAGAGTTAAACAGTTGTCACCCTCTTGTGGTGTGTTACTAAACCAACACAAAGGTAACTGGTGTTGAATTCAATATGTAACTCTGTCCTGCTTGGATCGTCCACTGATGCTTTTGTTTTCATGGTAAAACAGCCCTGCTCAGTCAGTTGAATGAAATGAACTTTCTTTTCATTTTTGTGACCAAATGTTTCCTGTTGCAAATATTCTATTTGTTTTGTTTTGTACCATGGTTACGTGTTACTCCTTATGGTTCAGAAAATGTCACAAATTAACGTCTGCGTTTTCAATTTATTTTATTAATTTGTGCTCAAAGATGACTTTGAATTGGAAGAAGACTTTTCTATTTTCTTTTCATGTTTCAGTTTACCCAGAATACGAGATTCTGAGTCAGTGATACAATGAGAAATAACAGTGAAATAGTTTCTGAGATATTGTTTGAACATAGCCTCAGATTTCCAAGAAAGTCTTTAAAATATCAATATAAAATTTCACAGATACCCTTTTTGAAATCCATAATTTACCATTTGAAAAGAAAGTTTTGGTCACAATCAGAGATTGTTGAGCAGAAGGCCCCCGATGATTTAAGATGGAAGGACCCTTTGTGGCTGGCTGTGGACCCCCCTCAGCGATAATGGTACAGCCACAAGTACATAATACAGGAAAGGAAATTTGATCAGTGACTCATTTTTTAATTTTTGTTCAAAACTCTAATTCTGAAGCAACAATTGAAATGCCATCAAACCAAAATTTAACTCAGAGATAATTTTCCTTTTGTGAAGTAATAGAAAAATAAGATGGTGTGAATTGAGTAAAGAACTGTAAAGTACTACATCGACCCTCACGATTCAAAATGACATCTTCATGTTACTTGTTTTCTCAGACTGACAGTCAAAAACCAAAATATATTCAATTTAACGTAATAGAAAATGAAGGACAACAGCAACGTCCTCATGTACTGCCTCTGTACATGGTTTGCCAGCTGCACAGTGGCAAACAGGAAAGAACTCCAGAGGGTCACCAGAATGACTGAGAAGGTCATTGGGTGTCCTCTACCCACACTGGAGGCCCTTCATGGCTCTTACTGCTTCAGGAGAGCCAACACCATCCTGAAGGACTCTTACCACCCGGGCCACTTCCTGTCAGAGCAGGGGTGTCAAACTGCGGTCCTCGAGGGCCGCAATCCTGCATGTTTTAGA